CCCCCCCACATGCCTTCCTCATGCCTTCTCACTCTTCCCTGCCTCTGAGCCGATGGTGATAATAAAAGCTGTTATTGAGCGCTTACTTGAGCCAAGTGGCATGCTGAGTTAGTGCCTCCTGCGCATAGCCTGTTCACCCCTCGGGCCCCAGACAGTGAGTCTTGTTAGCCTCCCCATTCTACAGGCAAGGGGACTGAGGTCCAGGTACCTTGATGACTTGCCCACACCACGTGGCTGGATTCTAATCCAGCTGGAATTTGAACTCAGGTCTAATTTATGCAGGCTCTTAAGAGCTGTCCAGTGCTGCAAAGACACCCAGACCCACACTTTGGGGGCACTGGTGTGTTACTATCTCGATCCCCCCAGTTCTAGGCACAGCCAGGACCCCTTATTACCTTTGACCTGGGGAGATTCTAGGGGGCATAGAATGGACATAGCTGGGTGGGGAGTTGGGATAGGGCACCCCCAGCCAGCCCTGGAGGTGGTCTCCAAGAACTGGCATGGCCTCCTGGTGTCATGACCCCACCTGCAGCCCCAAGCCCCTTTGAGCCTGGTCCCTCCTGCCCACCATCATGTGCACTTGGGAACCCGTAGGTCTGGTGCCTGAGGGGCTGTGATGATGGAGTGGGCTGACTCCACTCCACAGCCTGCCCTGGAGACTTGTGTGCCCTGGGGGAGCTGTATGCAATGTGTGTGGGGAGAAGTGAGTGTTTCTATAAAAGGAAGGCTGAGTAAATGCACGAGCTCTTGGAATGGAAAATTTACTGGCTCTCAGAGGACTAGTTAGGCCTGGGGGAAGGCCAAGCTGTGGGTTCCCACCCCGCCCTCCCCAATCTGCCCCTGAACCCACACCCTGTGAGGCTGGTGGAGGGGATACCCTTTGCAGGGAGACCCAGCAGCACCTCCAGGAACTTGGGGCCTTTGAGAGCAGCCGGGACTCCAGCTCCCTCCCTCCTCTACCCAGTTCTGCTCTTCTGGGTTGTTTCCCCAAGGCTCCCTCAGGGAAACGCTCTCTAACCTGCCACATGTGCAGCCCACCCCTAACCTTTGGATCCCCCAGCCTTAGGCCTGGCTCCTTCCACCTGGCTTCCATTTTGGAAATTCAGAATGACACCAAGAATTTACGAAGGGAATTTAACAGAAGTATCAGCAAGATGGTAGAACTCCACACCAGAAGGGACGGAGGCGTGATATATATAGACAAATGGCAATGGGCCCACTTGTCCATATAAGAACATTCCTTTCAGGTGATGTGGGCTCATCCGCTGGGCAGTTTGCTTTGTAAGATGGCAACATCTTACAAAAAGACCAGGATTCATTCCCCTAGTACGCCCTCCCTCTGCTGGTGTCACCCCTCCATCTGTATGATGTGAGGTCAACCCACTCAGAAACCCTTTCCCTGACACCTGTCAGGCTCAGGCCACACAATCACCAAAGGTCCCCTCATGGCCAAACCAAGGTCATTCCAGGTGGCTTTGGACTGGATCTAGCAGCGGTGGCCTTTGGTGATCGCACCCCCTTCCCTCACATGCCCTCCTTGGTCCCCAGAACCCCAAGCTCTGCCTCTCCTACCTCTGACATCTCCCTCTGCACTTTAGGTTACCACTCCCACCTTAGCCACATGAAAAAAAGCGAGGCAAACTGACAACAACTTTATTCACAGTTATAGGCCACAGGATGCAGGAAGGGACGGGGGGCTAGTGGGGAAGGGTGTTTGAAGGTGGTTTTGGCCCAGGCTTCTAGCTGCTCCTACCTCAGTTCTGTGGCTGAACCCCTATACAACGGGGCCTCCATTTCTCAGACCCCTGCTGTGTGGAGCTTCTTAAAGGCCACTTGATACTGCACACAGGGTCAGGGAACTTTCACCATGACCGGATCCTCATGACAACCCAGTGCCAGCCCGAGAAGGACTGAAGGCCAGGGGCTTATCGATATCTGGTGAGTCCTGCGCCTGCCAGGCCCCTCACTTTCCAGGAATGGCCGCCCGGCCCAGAAGCTCCAGGGGCACCAGGAACGGGTTCAGGGGGGAGACCCCAGCTGCTTGCCAGGTGGATCTTGGTTCACAGGGTCCAGCATTCTCAGGGGCCTGCGGGGTGGCCAGGTCGGCATCCTCTTGGCCCCCAGAGCCAGTCCCACAATCCTCAGCCCCCAGCCCCAGGCTCCCACTGCTGGGGTCGGACTGGGGGGCCATCAGGCGTTGGTATGTGTCCAGCATATGCTCAGCCAGGGCTGCACAGGGCAGGTGAGGCAGCTCCTCAGGAAGTGCCATGAGCAGGTCAAGGACCACAGCTGACTCTGGTGATGGATGGAGAGAGGAGGAGTAAGGGGAGGACAGAGCTTGCTGCCTGGGATTCCATCCCCACAACCCTCGCCCCTGATTCTCACCAGCTGCGGAAAGCTCAGGGCCATGGAAACTGCGGGAGATGGACGACAGGTACTTGTAGATCTTCTCAAAGTCCACTTGGACGTCTCCCTCGGGAGAGGGGCCAGCCAGGGATTCGGAAGGCACCTCAGGGGTGGCGGGGCTATGAGCCTCAGGGCTCAGGTCCTCCTGCCCTCCAGGGGCACTGAGGAGCAGTAGTTTTCCACATGCCTGTGTGGGCTTGGGGGGCTTGGAGTGCAAGAGACTGATGGGCTCTGTGGCCGCAATGGTGAGCACCTGGCAGGCAGAGAGATCAGCAAAGGAAAGGCGGAAGTCCTCCCATTGGCCACGCCCCTGCCCTGCACACCAGGCCGTGCCTGTTCGCCAAAGCTTTCCTGCCACCCTGAGGAAGGCGTCACATATAAGAGATGGCCTCAGAGGTGGGGATACTGAAGCTTGGGGTGTCTAGTGACTGGCCAGAGTCACAGAGCAGATAAGAGGAAAGGCCCAGGACCCAGGTCCACCGTATTTGGACTCATATGTATGACCCTGTCCCCAGGGACACTCCTGTCCTGCCTAGGGGGTGACTGACTGTACCTGTGAGAAAGCCACTGTCAGGGTTTCCTCCAGCGGGCCTGTTATCTTCTCAGCCAGATCCATCCATACCTGGGTGGGGCAACCAGAAGGTACATGGTCAGCCTAGGGATCAACCCTCAGGATTCCCCCAAGCCCTGCCCCTCTTAGGGGTCCCCTGACCAGGTTATCACTCTCCCAACTCCCACCCCATCTTCCAGGGACTGGCTCTGGAGAGCCTTGCTCGGCTTCACCTCGATGGGGGCCGGGGTCTGTGTTTCCCGGCACCTTGGACCCTTTGGATGCACCCTCTGAATGGCCTCCCGGGCCACACGGCCCTTGAGCTGCTGGAGGAAATCCCGAATCTGAGGAGAGAGGAGGAGGTCAAATGGGCCTTCTACAAGCCCAGGGCTGGGAGAAAGAAGTCAAAGACCACTGCCTCCCGCTAGCTCGGTATTAAGGGTCATAGTGAATCTGCCTAGGTCTTTGGGGCCAAGGCCCAGGTGTGACGAGCTACCTAATAAAGATTTAAGGTCCAGGCCTGTCTGGCTCCTGCCGGCAGCCAACGCCCGCCCACATGCTAAATACTATTCTATTCACCTCCCCTCTGCATCCACTCCGCCCCATTTCCTGCCTCTCTCCAACCTCATTCCCGCCCAGTCCCTCTGAGCCATCCGCCCGGTCCGCCCCGTCGGGGGCCTCAGCTCCCTCCTACTTGGAGTTCGCCCCGCCCCTCAGCTTTGCCTTCGCCCCGCCCCTCAACCTTCCGCACCATCCGCACCACTGCCTCCACCTCTCCCCGCCCCTCGGCCTCCTGTATGCTCCACCCACGCCCAGCCTTCCGGCCAAGGTCGCCCCACTCCCATCCTTGCGCTCGTCCCGCCTGCGCTGCGCCCCGCCCCCCATCTTATTCCCCGCTCCCGCCCCGGACACATCCGAGCCCCGCCTCCAGACTCGCTCCCTTTCGGGGACCCTCTCACCTCGGCCTCGCTCCGGCCAGGCAGCTCCCTGGCCAACTCGGAGGCGTCCGGCTCCGGCTGGCCCCGCCGCATCTGTAGTAGTCGGAGCAGCTGCCGCTTCTCGCGGGCGCTCCAGGCCGCGGAGCCTATCACCTCGCCCAGATAGCGTACCGGGGCCGCTCGCCGCCGCTGTGGGGGCTTCATGCCGGTGAGGGCGGAGTTGGCGCTCCACGGCTGCTTCTCTGCGGGGCGGGGTTACGGAGGCCGCTGGGGCCAAAAGCTCTGCGCGGAGGCGGAAGCAGATGGGGGCGGGGCTCCGCGTTTGCGGGATTGAAGGAGCTGGCTGGGTGGGAAATAATGGGGAGGCTGGCATCCGAACTGAGGCGGGGGTGAACGAGACCCCCCCCAGCCTCATTTTATCGCATTCGTAAACTGGAGCCCAGACCTTAGATCGCATGCCCTCCCTCCATTCCTGGACTGTTACGTGTGTGCTTTGCTTCTCGTGGAGGCGTGGGTCCTGGATGGAAGGGTAGCTGTCCCAGTGTAGCCAAGAGCCTGGGCTGTGGGGTCGCCCAGCCCTGGGGACCTTGAGCAAATGGTTTAGCTGTACCCAGCCTCAGTATCCTCATCTGTAAAATGGAGCTAGCTAGCCTGTTTTTGTCTTTGCTCGGGGGAGGGAGGCGCTCACGCAGGAGGGATTTAAGGAACTCTAGACTGGATGGAGTGGAAACTGGACAGAGGCCAGAGGTCGAGGCCCTAGCGAGTTTAGGGTCCAGGCGGTGGGAATGGACAGTGGAGAAGGCCTAGATTTGAGAGGCTCGCAGGAGGTAGGTGGCCCAGTGAAGGCGTGGAGGAAGGAAGCAGGGTTTATTTAAAACTTAAACTGGTGGGGTCGGGTGCCCCTTCCTATTTGTGACAGAACACCCTTGGGTCTCCCCTGGCCCCTGTCTGCACACGAGTATATATACCAGGGGTGCTAAAAATATGTATACAAGTGGACACTTTGGTCAGCGTTGCTCAAGCAGTAGTTTGCCGTAATCAGAAGTGTCTGGACGCTGATGGGAACCACTTTGAGCACCTCTTGTAATTGCAGAAGTCAAATGTGACTTGTATTCATCTTTGTCATTAGTATATATTGAGTATTACAAGATTTTTTTTTCCTTTCTTAAAATATGTATACTTTTTTTGGTACTCTGTATATGGGCTACAAGCCCCACCCCCACACCCACCCCTCCAGTCTGGACCTCTTCCAGCCCCAAATCTTCCCAGTCCTGGTCCCAGACCTCTGCTTCCTGACACCCTCCACCCCCCACCCCCTGGGCAGACACAGACTTCAGAACTCATCAGGTCAGACCAGATGTTTATTTTAAGCCCAGGTGGGAGGAAGAGCTAGAAGGGCAGGCACAGGGATCATGGTCCCATGGGTCCAAGGTCAAGTGGCCGGTCCAGTCTTGCGAGCCTTGTCTGATGCCTTGGCTGGTGAGTCTCTGGACCCTGCTGGGGGCGCACCATCCCTAGAAGGGTGTAACCCAGGCTGAGCTAGGGAGAGGACTACGCAGACTAGCTCCTTCCTAGATGATCATTGGCCTCCCCCATCAGTCTGTGCACTGCAGGTGAGGACACTAGCTCTTAATCCCTGAGCTCTTGCCTTGTGCGTGTCCAACACAGAGCCCACAGTCCACCGGGGCTGACCACTGCCTGGGTTCGAATCCCAGCTCCACCAAATTTTGTGACTTAAATACATTACTTCAGAGAATGTCTAATTTTTCTCATCTTTATGGGGATTATAATAGTATCTACCCGAATGTTCTTATAAGGATTAAATTAGTTAATATACATAAAACATTTAGAACGCTGCCTGGCCCAAAGAAAGTGCTATGAAGAGTCATCATCATCTCCCTCCTCCAGGTATCAGCCCCACGTTACACTTTACACACACACTCACACACACTTACCTGCCTCACTGGGGCCTTCTGGGCTGAGGGCCTCTAGGCGAGGTTCTTGGGGGCGGGCCAGGAGGTGGAGGCGCTGGAAGAGAGAGGTAGGCTGTGGAGCTGTAGGGGTTGCTGCGTCTGGCCTGGGGCAGGAGCGCCCCCTGGAGGCCGCTGAGGGCCTAGCGGAGGCATGTCTAGGGATGGTCAGGTCCTGCCGGCTGGGATCGCACCGACCCCGGGGTCCCGGTGCGCAGGAATAGGCGGGGCCTGGCGGAGGTCCCAGTGGGAGAAGGTTGATACCTGAGTGCGTGCACACAAGGCCGAGACCCGCGGCCAGCGCGGCGCCCAGCACGAAGGCAGCCACCACCAGCGCCACCACTGGCGCGGGCTCCAGGGCTGCCTGAGCAGGTGCAAGAGGTGCAGGAGGCTCCGGGTGTACGGCTCTGCCGGGGACGCCCTTGGGTGGCACTGTGAAGAGTACAACGCTGAGACTAGGCCCAGGTCTCAGAGGTCCTCCCCACGCCCGTTCCCCAGCCCCAGGGACCCCTGCAGGGGAGAACTGCGCGCTCACTTGGGGGCGGCCGCGGCACAGTCACCAAGATGGGCTGCGTCAGCGTGTGCAGGTGGGGGGCATCGGCACCCAGACTCTCGCCGCTGCCACTGCCGGCGCCAGCGCATGCCTCATCCTGAGGCAGACACTAGGGGAAGGAGAGGGAAGGGACCGGGACGTGAGAGCCCTGGGATCCAGGGGCTGATCCCCAGGGCTCCCAAGAGATCTAAGAGATCCAGCACTCTTTGCAACCAGGAGTCCCACCACTAGACCGCTGAATACCCAGCCCCTAAGATATACAAGCAGCCAGGCGCCCAGCCCTAGAGAACTCCAAGTTTCAGCCTCTCAAGGTCACACGACCCCGCACTTGGCGCACTTAACCTTCTGTGAAGCCCAGCATTAGGTACCCAGAGATTTGGCCCCATAGTGGCCTTCTGCAGCCAACCACTCAGCTCTGGAGGGACCTCAGAGCTCCGCCTAACCCAGTGCTTTGCCCAAGAGGGAATTCAGTGCCCACTCCCTACCTGTCCCCTGAGGAACCCTTTCGCAGAACTCCCCCGGCCCTTAGAGCTCCCTGCACCCAGCCCCAATGCCTACCCCTAGCTCCGAGGGACCCGTGCTCCAGGCTCCAAAGTGCCCTGACCCCCAGATTCCCAAACCCAGAGGGGCTCCTCCCTTAGATGCCAGGAAGCTCTCCTGCACAGCCCACGACGGGCCCCGGGCCCCGGACCCGAGACTCCCGGTCCTGCCTCCTCGCACCGACGGCGGCGGCGGCAGCGTCACAGGCACAGGAGTCCGGCGGGCTCCCCGGAGGTGGCAGCGGCTCAGCTGGCAGTGCAGAAACTGCACAGAGGCGTTGAAGATAGGGCGCAGGCGGAAGCTGAAGCGGGCAGCACCAGGGCGTGGCGGCGGTGGCGGGAAGGCGACCGAGGAGTCGGCGGGGCAGCCTCCGCGCAGCAGCGCCAGGGCGGGCCCCGGTGCCGGGCGCGAGGATGGTGTCACTGAGCAGTGGTGCAGAACCAGGCCCCAGCGAGGGGAGGGACGAGCCAGGGCCGCCTAGGCGGAGGGGGTGGGGGGGGGCAGTATGGTATCACGGTCAGGATCCGCCGCTCCCACCTGCCAGCCCCGTGCCCCAGCGCGCCCCGCGTCCGCACCTGCACGAACACGCGGCTGTCCGCTGGGACCTCGAGCGGCCCTGCGCGGCGCGGGAAGGCGTCCTCCACCTCCGATAGCTCTAGACTGAAAAGTGGTCGGCGCAGCCAGGAACCGGGCGCCGCCGGGAACGGGGGCGCTGCCGGGGGAGAAAGGGTGGCACAGAGGGAGGACGCGCTGTCCCTTAGGCCCTCCGGCAAATGATCCAGCCTCCTTCGCCTCCTTTGGAAAATGGATGCGGTGGAGGATTCACTCACGCTCAGCTCCGCGCCTCGTTCACCACCGGTGGGACAGCGGATATGATGTCCCCCCCACCGCCCACCCCAACCTCCCCGAGACCCCTGCGATATCACAGCTCAGCACAAAGTTGTGTGCCTCTGACGAGGAGCTCCCTTTCCTGGACCTCGATTTCCTCCCCAGCAGTGAGGGAATTCCAGGTGGGGAAAAGGGGTGAGGGTTGCCTGATGGGGGAGGATCAGGCTGAGTGACGATCAGTGCAGGGCTGTCCTGGGATTGCAGTAGGGCCAGCTTGGGGGCAGTGTGGGGGAGTGCTAGTCCCACCCTTCCCTAAAGGAAGGTAGGTGCTCTCATCAAAGGGGTAAAGTAGAAGGGGGGTGCTCTCCCCTAGCCCTTCTAGCCCAGCCAGGCCACCAGGCTCTGGGGCTTTTCCGTTTGTCCAGGTTCCTCACTCCCAGGCTTGGGGCAGTCGCAGCGAAAGGCAGAGCACCCACAGGCTTTCCTAATCTTTGTGATGGCACGCACAAGCGCGCGCACGTGGACACACAGGTGTCCGCCTTCAGGAAGCACTCAGCTGAGGCCCCTAACTCAAACATTCAGGATGGCCCCCACACACATTCCCTAAAAGCATTTGCAGGCTGTTCCCCTCCCACAGTCCATGGCCTCACAGTGGCTGCTGGGAGCTTTCAAGTTGAGGATCCCAAAGAACCTAGAAATGGGAATGGGCAGACCCTACCACCCACCCATTCCACCAGGTGGGGTGGATGAGGGGTCGAGAAAGGGAGGCACAGGAATGGAGCACAATGGTATACATGTTCTCTAGCCCCTACCTACCAGGGAGCCCGCTGGGCAAGGTGGAGGTCCCTGGGAGAAGAGCCAGCAGCAGGAACATGGCACCCAGCATACTGGACTGGCTACAGTGAATGTGCGGGGACCACAGGCAGAGGCACCAGCCCAGGCAGCACTCAGAACCAGTAGGTGGGCAGGTGGCCCTGTCTTTGGCTGGGCAGCCACCTCAGGTGGCAGGGAGCGTGGGTGGCAGACTGAGGGGCTGACACCAGAGCCCTTGCCCAAGGCCTGCCAGGGATTAGAAGTCCTCTCCCACAAGACCTGTGGCTATTCGGGGGGTGGAGTGGGGGGTGGCGGTGTCCCTCCACGCTGTCTGCTTGCTATTGGGCAAGTCACCACAAACACCACCCTACCAGCCCAATCTCTGCCTGTCTTCCCTTGATGCAGAGACCTCATCCACCAAGATAGCACTGCTCCCCCCATCCCATGTCACAGCTTACAGACCTTTCCCAAGTCTCAAGCCACATCCTGCCAAGGCTCAGGTCATACCACAGACTCGGTGGAAGAAAAGGGAGGGGTTTTATTCTCAAGCATCTAAGGATTTACAAACATGGGTGTTTCATTTTAAAAAGGGAAGGGGCAATACTGGCAGCCTGAGAAGGGACTGTGGGCTGACGGGCTAGGCCAGGCCGCCCCAGGCCCCTGCCTGCCTGCTCTGCCCTCTGCCTGGTCAAGAAGGACAGCTGGTGACTGGAGACAGAGGGGAGGGGGGGACAAGGGAGAGGTAGCGGGGAGGAGAGGCTCCCCCAGAACTCCCACTTAACACTGAAGGGGAGGGGGGCAGGCAGACACACACTCACAAAACAAAGTTAAATAAAAATAAACCTGGGCAGCAGGCCTTGGGCTTTTGCTGGCCCTGGGACCAGCCACATGACCTCCTAGCTACCGGCAAAGGCCCCCTGTGGCTGGGACCCACAAGGGAGGGTGGAGTCAGGCCTGTGGGTACCCCACCCTGCTCCCATCCCCTCACAAAGGGGACTGGGGCAAGAGAGGTGGCCGTACCCCGGGGAGGGGGGGCGCAGAGAGAAAATGGTGGAGTATTTTTTAAACATGCAGCCTTTTGTGACTATAAGAGTAACAAGAGTCGATAGGATAGAGGTTACAGTGATGCTTATGCTAAGTCTAGATTGCGCCAGCTACATCCAGCGAGGTTCCTCACCTTTGGCGTCGGTTGGTTTTTGTGTTTTTTTTTCTTTTTTTTTTTTTTTTTGTTATTTTGTTTAGTTATCCACTTGATTTGCATGCATCACCAACAAAAAGGAAACACACCCCCTCCAGCTCTGGCTGCTGCAGAGGGCTGAGGGGAGGGGGCACCATGGCCCAGCCTCTAGGTAGGCTGGGGACTGGCCAGCTCTGGGGGAGATGAGGAGCACTCAGGGGCACTGTGAAGGCATGACTGCCTTCACATGCCCAGCCTTCAGCCTGCCCCACCTCTGTCCCTGTCACACATCCTCAAACCCCCACATCCACTCCTTATACCCTCCATTCCTGCCTCCCTGGGCCCCGTGGCCCCCACTCATCACATGGCCCCCATTCCCTCCTCCCTGCCACACCAATATTGCTGCCTTCCACCACACTCCACACACACCTTCCCTGAAGGCCACCTTGTGTGGCCGCGGCCCTGTGGGCTCCCTCCACACCCCGAGGTCAACTCATCCCCCCAAGCTGTGGCCAGTCTCCAGCCCTGAGGGAGGAGCCCCCACCCCCAGTGCCGACCTTTGGGACTAGTCTCCCCAGGCCAGGCTGAGGGAGGCACAGTGGCCCAGGCCCCGATGGCCCGGTCCCCCAGTGCCCACAGGTGGTTGGGGGCTCCACCACAAGCAGCTAAACATGACTTTGGTAAAAGTTTCTGAAGGTACCGACAAACCCCATGAGAACAAGCTCTTCTTCCTCCCCCCACCCCCCCAAACACCCCCCCCAAGTAAAATAAAATACAATAAACTCCAAAAAGGACCCCCTGAGATCAAAGAGAGAGAAAGAGCAGCCGGGTCTGCTGCAGTCACAATGCCCAGCCTGCCTTCCTGGGGCGAGGACACCAGCCGAGGGACTCATTCCTCGCCACAGACCTAAGTGGACCCATGGGTCCCATAGGGGGTGGCAGAGCCCAGGAATGGGCCAGGAGAGAGGCGGAGGCAGGGAGGGAGATGGGGAAGACCAGAGAGGCACTGAGGGAGGTGACAAGAGATGAAGACAGGGAGCATGTGCACCAGGGAGGCGAAGACGGCAAGTGTGGGAGGGTGCAGGACAGGCGACTCTCTCCTGGCCCCTGGGGGCCACCCGAGAGCCCAGAGGTTACGACAATAAATAGCGAGTCTGCTCGCGGCCTGCTGTCTTCCGTTCACAGTGTCTGTCGGGGGGACGCATACGGCTGGCTGACCCCAGGACCGGAAGGGCTAGAGCCTGGCGAGCCCATCTGTCCACGGCTGCTGGGCAGGGAGTCAGGGGTGGGTTGGCGTCCCCTACTTTCTGTCCTCAGCCCTCGGTGGCCGTCCAGGTCCCAGGTTTCCCCTGACGGGCAGCTGGGTGGCCGGGTAGGGAAGGGGGGGCCTGTGGCCATGTCCCCGGCCCCCCAGAGGGCATGGCCGCCGCCACGCGGCTACCTGAAGAAGGGCAGGTGATGTTGGCTCAGGACTCCGCTAGTCCGCGGTGACTCAGTCTTCGCCATGACGTCCTTGAACCAGGACGCCACATCCACCTCCAGCGTCTCGTAGCGCTTGATGAAGCTGTGTTCCTGCAGGGCCCAAGGGGGGAGCTTAAGACAAGGACAGCTTCCCGGCTGGCCTCGCTTGTCCAGATGGGCAGGGGGTACGGAGCAAGGCTGGGACAGGGCAGGAGGGGCCCCAGGTACTCACAAGTAGCTTATTGTACTTTGGTCTCTTTCTGTGATCTTTAGTAAGGCTGGAGAAAGAGAAGGGAAGGAAGGGAAGTGAGAGCCTGGAGGGGCTCAGCTGACCTACCAGCTGAGCTGGGGGTCTGCAAGAGCTGTGGAAAGGAGCTGCTGCATCCTCCCGGCCATGTGCTGCCAGGTGGGACACCGCAGTGGACTCGAGGCCTGCACCCACCTGGGATGGGGGCCTAAACCAGGTTGTGAGGTGCCCACTGGGGGGTGGGGAGGAGTGGCTCTCCCAAGGGAGAATCCAATATGGAATCCTGTCTGCATAATTCTGCTTGTTGGTGCAGGACACTCAGAGCCCTTTGCCCTGGGGGTCCCACTGCTGGTTTACAACCTCCCGAGGTGAAGCCCCAGGCCACCTGGCCAACTGCCCTTGGAGCCAGGTCCAAACCCAACTCGTGCTTCCCAGGGCTCTGGCTCCAGCTCCTACCTGCATTCTGGGCCCTGAGCCCTTCTGGTCCACAGCTACCCCACCCCCATCCTGCTCCGAATGCCCCCAGCTGCCTTGAGCTGGGGGCCTCCTGGAGTGGGGAACCGGGGCAAGGGCTCCTCACCAGTCTTTGACGAAGGACTGAAAGTCCCCCGAGAAGCCCATGTGACCGGGCAGGAGCGGGGGCTCTTCCTGCAGGACCTTGGTGAGGACCTCGAAGTCTGTCTTGCAGTTCTTGTAGGGAAACTGTCCTGTCGCCAGCTCCACCTGGGGACAGACGGGCTGGAGCGGCCAAGGACAAGCTCCTGTCCTCCCTGCTGCCCTCCCATACCCTGAGAACAGGTCACCCCAGCCCTCAGAAAGGGCCCCAACTCACCAGGGAAATGCCCAGGCTCCACACGTCGGCCCGAATGTCGTAGTCCGGCTTGGTGGGGTCCGGGGGATCAATGCGCTCAGGCTGCAAGGGTGAGGGAGATGGAAGAGGGGAGGATGAACCTGTGGCTGGGGTGGGTGCACTGCCCAGGCCTCCACACCCTGCCACCTGCTAGACCCCCACTTACTGCCATGTAGGCAGCACAGCCCGCACTCCGAGTTTTAGCTTTGGAGTCCACGAGGCGGCCGCTGATGCCGAAGTCACAGAGTTTGATCTGGCCCCGCTCGTCCAGCAGGATGTTGGAGGGCTTAACGTCCCGGTGGATCACACCGTGCTTCTCCTTCAGGTAGTAGAGCGCTTTCACAATCTGCGGCAAGGAAAGGGGAGTGCAGTGTTGGGGGACAGAGCCTGGGGGTCCCTTGCCCGGCTCAGCCGGCCTGGCCACTTACTGCCACAGTCATCTTGCCCAGGATCCGCTCGGGGATGGGACCCTGCATCCGCTTCTTCAGCTTCTCAGCACATGTGCCCATGAGCTCCATGGCAATGAAGACGTCCGTCTGCAGGGACAGCAGGTACAGCTTGGGGCAGCCACACCCTCCTGCCCACCCCAGATAGGCTCTGGTCCCAGGGCAGGAGACAGGGCCCCCTGGGAAGGCCACAGAGGGCTGGGCGGGGGGCTCACATTGGTGATGAAGGTCCCGAAGCACTGCACAATGTAGGGGCAGTCATGGCTCTTGAGCACGACGTCCAGGTCCATGAGGATCCGCTTGTTCTCGTCCTTGTTCCCCGAACGCCGCATTTGCTGCACGGGAGGGGGGGACTCAGCGTCAGAGCTGAGGGGCTCGGGGCCACCTGGGTAGGGCAGGGCCTCACCTTGACAGCGATGATGTGGCCTGTCTTCCGGAAGCGCATCTTCCACACCTGGCCGCAGGTGCCACTGCCCATCTCCCCCAAGTTCTCCAGGTCGTTGATTTCTGCCTGGTAGCGCTGGTGAGGAGAGCCACAGATGGGGGTCTGCCTGGCCGCTGCCCCTCATAGACCTAGACCGTGTCCTGCCCACCCCCTGGGAGCTGGGGGAAGGGCAGTACCTGGCCCCCAATGGTCAGGTAGCCTGTCTGCTTCATGATCTCCTGCAGCTTCTGGTCAATCTCAATGCTAGGGAAACAGGGAGAGGGTGTGGGTGGAGGGGGGTCCTGACCAACCTGAAGCCAGCCCCTAATACGCAATGGTTCCCACAGGTTTCATCGCCTCCTTCTTAGGGCTGGCCCAGTGGCCCTCCCCACGCTGACCCCCCACAGGTCATCTGGCCCCACTCCGAAGGCTCACCTCTCCATGCTGCGGGGTGTGAACAAGGTGGACGGGAGCCCCAGCATGTGGCGGGGCCGGGCAGGGGGCGTGGGGTGCTGCGGGGAGCTCTCGGAGGACGGTGAGCGGCTGCCACCATCGTTGGCCAGTGGGAGCTGCAGGGCTAGGGGGGGTGAGAGTCAGGGGCGGGGAGGGGGTTAGCACCCAGCTGGCCCCACCTCCAGTGCTGGTGCTCCGGGGGACTAGGGACCTTGGTCTTCGCCTCCTGGGCACCCTCAGGTAGGCTGACACTGCTGGGTGGGAGGAGCTGGAGTCTCCCTCCCCAACCCCGGACCATTCTCAGGGTGCTTCTCCCATCCTCCTGCCCGGGAAGGAGATGGAGTGGGAATAGCTGGGAATGATGATAACCAGAGGCCGAGGGTTTGTCCCCAAGTCTATGCTGACAGAAACAAGGCCCAAAGGCTAATGGTGTCCCTCAGCCAGGCAGCCTGCCTCCCTGGTGTGTCCCTTTCCTCCCCACCTCTGCCCAGGAAGCAGGCCGAGGACCACAGTGCCTATGCTCAGGACCATGTAAGGAGGGACTGCCCACCAGGATCAGCCTGGGCTCTGGTCCTGTGGGCAACACTGAACTTGGCTGCCCAACAGGAATGAGGTGGACCACCCTGGGGAGACAGTGGACAAGGGACCCAGACTTCTAGCTGCTCCATGTTCTGTTCCAGGGTCAGGGGGGGCCACCCTTTGGTCACCAGGCTCAACTGTGAGCCTCCCAGTCTGGCCTGCAGAGCTGGGGCCAATGAGGACAGGGGCAGGACCCCAGGCTGGGCCTGCGTCCTGTGGGTGATGGATTCCAGCTGGCACGGCCCCTCTAGGACTGACGGGATTTGGAGGAGGTGCTGGGCCAGGCAGGGGATTGGTTCTTTCCAGCAGCCTGCATGCGGATGGCTTGGGCATGCTGCAGGCAGGCAGGCAGGCAGCAGGCAGGCAGTGGACACCCCAGGACGGGCAGGCGGCGTTAGGGGATGAGAGGGCAGGAGAGAGACAGACACATGGGAGCCAAGATTGGGGCCCAGCTGCCCAGAGGAGGCGCTGCAGAGACAGGCCAGAGAGGAGCCCAGACAGGGGAGCAGGTTCCCTAAGGGGCTGGGAGCCTCCCTTGGCTGGGCTGGCAACAGGGTAGAGGAGCAGAGGTCGGTATGGCCTCCAGAGGAGACAGATGATCCTCCATTGAACCCTCATACCCAGAGGACCTGGCATGCCAGAAGGGGGTCCCTGGCTGGGGAGGGCACTGACTATAAGCACCCTCCCAGGTTCACCTTCCCACAGAGTGCAGGCCTGGGGCCTCCCCCAGCTGATGCTCCTCCTCTCTCTCCATACCTCTTGCTGAGACCCACCTTTTCCTCCCCAAGTTTTTGCAGACACCTGGTAACATAGGCCCAGTGACCGATGGGTAGACCAACAGGTATGCTTGCTCTGTTGGCCCAGGACCCTGACCCCAGCCCGAGTCAGGGGGCAGGTATATGACCCTGGCCTGCAGTTCTAGAAGGAGTACAAGTCTTGCTAGGGCCTGGCAGGAATAGAGGAGGAGCTCTGGGGACCCCGGGGACACAGCTGGGCCCAGCACCCTCACCTCCCATGCCCCCTCCCACCCCAAGCTTTGTAACATCACTACACCTCTGCTCTGCCATGGCCAGAATCAGAGTCCTAAGCCCTCTCTCTCTAGCTCAACAACCTCACCTTGTACTCCCCCGAACCTGGACTCTCTTGAGATACTGCCAGGTTCTCACCCCCTGGGGGTGGGGGTGGGTATCTGGGCCCCTTTTCTGCCCTGCACCGTCAGCTCTCTGGGGCAAGGAAGCACACTTCGGTGCCCCATGGGTCCCCTTGAACAGGCCACTGGGCCTCTTGACAGCTGCCCAGAGCCCGGGAAAAGGCTGTAGGGATACAGAGGCTTCCAGCCAGCCCCACAAACTGAAGCATGGAGGGGATTTGAGAGGAGCAGGTGGAGGAGGGAGAGAGTGGAGATACAAAAAGGCCCAGAGAAATCAATGAGGTGGTAATGGGCCATACAGTAGGTCAGGAGGTCAGAGGAAAAGCATGAAGATGGATATGTATGAGAGAGAGAAAGAAGAGAGAGAGAATGAATGAATGAATGAATGAGAAAAAACAAGAGGGCATGGGGGCCGTCAGGAGCCACAGCTGCACCAGGCATGGCACAAACCCCCACACACATGCAGACGGGCAGATGATACACCACAGAGCCTCCAACACCATCTTACACACACAAGGTTACACACATTCAACTGTCCAACCTAGTCCCACTTACACACAAGGATAAACAGGACCAAACTCCCAGCCCGGTCTCTCGCACACCCCCCCACACACATGGACACATCCCACATACATCCACTCCAGCCAGACCCGCTGGCACCCGTACTCAGGCCTTGGCAGGGCTGTTCACATGCTCTCCCGCCTCCCACAAGACTTTGCTCAAATCCCACCTTCTCCAGAGGCTTCCCCGAACAGTACCCTGTACAATTCCAACCCTGCTCTACTCTACTTTTCCCCAGCACTTGTAGCCTTCTCCAGTTCTCCCCAATCAGGAATGCACTCATTGTTCTCACCTCCTCCCACCCCTAGTGGTGCATCAGCTGCACAGAGGGACTTGGTAAGTTTTATTCACTGCTGTATCCCCAGAGCCTAAAACAGGTACAGCACACAGGGGCCAAAACATTCCCTGAATTGCTGAAATGGATGCACAGGCACAGCCAACCCGCTGGCCCCACTTTCTCTCCCTCTCACTTATACACACTCACGCATGCACACACACACACACACACACGCACTTGCGTGACCCCCTTGCAAGTGACAAGACTCCCAGTCAGTGAGGGAGCCCACTTCCTCCTCCAGGGGATCCAAACCTGCACCCGAGTGGAAGGGAGGAGAGAGGACACAGGAAGAGGCCAGGTGGGCCTGATGTTGATTGTATGAAAGAGAAAGGGGGAGTGAGAGGGAGAGTGAGTGAGGAGATGCGCACGCACACACACTCACACACACAGAGCATAGGGGGATAAGGGGATGGCATTCTGCGGCTGGGGCAGCGGTTAGGTCAATGGTGCAGATGTCCAAGCGGCGATGATAAAAAGGCTGGTACCTGCTCGTTGGGACGGGGCAGGAGCAGGGCTTAGAGTGATCACAATAACTGGATGGGGAAAAGGAAGAAAAAAAACAACACCACGATAAATCACAACAGAAACAACCGATTTGTCCAAAAGAAAAGAAATCAAATCATAACGAGGAGGAGGGGGAGGCACGAGGCACCAAATTACAGAGATGGGTAGAAATCGACAGATGGCAGGACTGGAAGGATGGGATGGAGCTGACACTGACACAGACACAGATGCCTGGAGGGGGTTCCTCAGGGGCCTGCCCGCCTTGGGTCTTGCCGTGCCTTGCTCTGCACCTGGGCCGGCCACCCCTGTAAGGCACCCCAGGCCCCGTACCCAGCCCTGTCTTGTCCATGCTGTGGCTGGGAGGTGGGGGTGGCACTGCAGAACCTAGCAGAAACCCTCCAGTCATTGGCAGTTTTGGGGACAGAAGTATCCGGAAAGCCTCTAGCCCAAGGAGTGTCCAACGCCAGCATCACCACCTTAGGGCTTTCTCTGGACCCCCAAAAGACCCCCTCAGGGAAGCATCCAGGCTGACCCAGGTCAGAAGAGGGATGGAGAGTGGACCCTACACATGGATGGGGGCGGGGTAAGGCTGTGAAGGCCAGGCTACGTGAGTAGGGGGTGGTTGGGGTACCCAGATATAGGGATGTCTTTCTCCTCCTGTCGGGATGACCCCACAGGAGCTACAAAAGTCATTTCAGAGAAGATATTAAAAGAGCAAGAAAGACACAGAAAGCGTCTTGGGGGTGCTGTTCTTCAGGTCTGTGGGGAGAGTGAAATCTGATGCCCTCCAGCTGAGAGGATTTGGGTTCTATGGGACATAACAAGGATCCTAGATGTGGTCACGGTGATCCCAGGGGGGACAGCTCTTGATTCCTGATGACAGGTAAGGAGGTGCTGAGATGCTGGAATCAGAGGGGAGGCATATGTGTGCTGGGAAGCTAGATAGTACCATACTGGCCTCAGGTGTCCCCAGAGTATGGGTATGTGGGGAAAAAGAAGTCACTTGAGCCCAAATGACAAAGTCTCTGGTCTGGGGACTGGGTGTGTATTTTTGAGAGGCTAGACATATTCACCAAGAAGGTGGCAGTGAAACTAGTCAGAGGAGTATGAGGGGGCCTGGTATAGAGAGTAGAGTGTGTGTGGGAGGGGGTCTGATGAGCTCAATGACAAGGTCCCACTTCAGAGAAGGGATCACCAGACACAGTCACAGGGAGTGGGAGAATCATCTTCGTCAGAGGGATAAAGGGGGTTGTATGTGGTCAAGTGACCTGAGGTGTCCCCCAGCCAGGTGTGAGTGAACCATCCCTTGAACCCGGATGACAAGGACCCTGGCGCGGAGTGGGGATAGGTGGGGCCTCTTGACACAGTCACTGAGATAACGAGTGGAACCATCTGGTCAAAAGGGATCTGTACGTGTTTGCGGAGAACGTGGATTTGGTCACGGTCGCGTAGGGTAGGGGAAGCACGGCTCACAAGAGGTGAGAGGCTCCGAGGATCACGATGATGGGGGCGGGTCATCAGGTGGTCCTCGCCTGGAGCCAGGTAACTAGGCTCTCAGGCTCCGTAAGGGGGAATCCCCCAGGCCGAGGGAGGGCCTCCCGGGAGCTCGCCGGTCCCACGCCCCCGAGTTTACCGTGACCCTCGCCCCGCGAGACGAAAGACTGGGGGTGGGGAACGGAGAGGAGAAGCAAGAGCGCCCCGGAAGCGGGGGCGGGGCCTGGAGGCGGGGGCGGGGCTTCTCGCAGTGCGCGCCCCGCCCCACCCGCCCCCTCCCCCATGCCGCCGTGCTTACTGGGCCTGGGCCGCTGGGGGCTGATATCCAGGTTGAGGTCGATCCTCCGCCGGGCCTCGCGGTTCTCTTGCTTCAGCTTTGCTTCCAGGCGGGACAGCTTCTGCTCCAGGGAGGACGCCGCCATCTTCCCCGCCGCCGCCGCCGCCGCGCACCGCCCGGCCACCCGTCAGTCCGGCAGACAAACACCGCACTGCGCCTGCGCCTGGATGACCCCGCCGAGCCGCCGTTTAGCCCCACACAGCGCATGCCCGTGGTGCGCACCCGCCCTTCCCTCGTGCGAACCTCCGCGCGTGCGTCCCTTTGCGCGTGCGTCCCTCGTCCCAGCCAGAGGGATGATGCCACCTAGAGCTCTCGGCTGGAAAAGTGCAAAATCTCCGCCGTGGTGCGCACGCGCGTGTTTCCCGAACTCCGGTGAACGGCGCTGTGTGGAAACCACAATCACCGTTCTGCGGAGAGCGGTGGGCGGGGAAAGACGGTCAAGCTTAGGAGACGAGGTCTCGCGCGTGGCGTTTGCTGCGCATTCCTGGCTCTTGGGGAATTGTGGAGCGTGGTCGCCTAAGTCTTCTTTTTGCTCTTTCTGACTGTGCCTTTTCTGGCACCCACGCCCTCTCAGAATTGCCTTTCTTGCCTTGAACATGACATACTTTATTAGGATCCCTGTTACGTTTAATTGTTGCCTCCTCACCATAATTTAGGCATCCTTTCTATTTCAGCAGGCTCAGGGTTAGCCAAGGACAGGTGGGAGGGGCGGCGTAGGGCTAGGGTCCAGCGGTGTGACCTCTGACCTCGGCGGCAGGGCCATGGTCAAGGCTAGAGAGTTAAAGGTAAGACTGGCGTGGGACATTTTAAGACGTTTTCCCTATCTGCCTTGCCCCCAGAATGTGAGCCCAGCTCCTGGACAATGCAGAAGACTGGCCCTGGGGTTAGGCGTCTCTGCCTGGTGTCCCTGTAGCCTAAATATTCTTTTTTTTTTTTTTTTAAAGATTTTTATTGGGGAATTGGGGGATGGGAACAGTGCTGGGGAATTGGGGGAAGGGGAACAGACAAGTTGCTGTTGTTTTGCTCTTCAGTCTAGCTGTGGAGGACGTTGCCCCACTGGCCCAAGTTGGCACCATCATTGCGCTCTTCCCGGGCGAGGCAGATTAGTCGCCGGCTTCTGGACGGCCGCTCACGCTGGCTGCTGGCCGCTCACGCTGGCTGCTGGCTACACACGGTAGCCCATGGTAACCCACTGCCACAGGGGCTGCAGCCTACGCCGTCGCTGGTGACTCACGGCAGCCCAGCTCCAGGTCGAGCCGTTGTTCAGCATCTTAGCTGTGGAGGGCAGTGTCACTGGCCCTCATATGTGGGATCCGAACCGGGGCCCTCTGGCATCCCAAGCCAGCTCTTAACCATCGCGCCACTCGGCCGACCCTAAATATTCTTTTAATTGGTTTGAAGGGTGCTGGGAAAATGTCCCCATCTGGAATCCTGGGCCCATGGAGAGCAGCTTGCCTCTGCTCTTAGGTGCCAGGAGGAAGATTGCATTCTGCAGATACCTTGGAGGGGGCCAAGCTCAGGTCAGGTTCAGGCAGGCTCTGCCTAGTGCCCTGCCCACTCCTGGTCCAGCTGAGGGGACCCCTCTGATGATGACTTATAGGTGGAGCAGATACAAAAGTATGGAGTCAGGAGGACAATAGGGAAGGTACAAGAAAAGAGGTTCCCCAGGAAAAAAGGTAGACAGAAGATGCTACCTAATTTTTTCTGGTTAGCTGAGGTCTCCTCACCCCCTTCTGTGCCTCTGACCCAGGACAAAGACTCATACCCTTGACTGTGGCACATGTCACCACTTGCCTGTAATTGGTCTGGTGAAATGGAAAGCTTAGACAGCGACAGGTGTGGACACGAGATCAGAATGACAGTTCTGATAATTAGTACTATTTATTAAGCACCAACTGATACATGCTTTCTCACACAGGAAACATTCAAAAGACAAAGTCCCTGCCAGTCCTCAGAAAAATATACCCTCCACAGCAGGTGTTCTTAACTTGGTGTCTGCCATCCTTAGGACATCCATGAATAGCCCTCTGGGGGAGGGGGCAGAATCTGTTGACTACCTGAAGTTGTTTGCAGAATTGTGCATGAATTTGTACACGAGCATTTTCATGAAGAAGGAGGTGCCCAGCTTTCATCAGACTCTCAAAGGGCCTAGGGACCTAAAAAGGGTTCCGAGTCCCTGCTCTAGATATCCAGATATCTCCCAACATACAGGCCTAGGACCACCTGCGTCAATTACCTGGAGTGCTTATTTACAGGCAAGTTCCTGGCCTCCAGCCAAAGCTTCTGAGTCAGTCTTTCAGGGGTGGCGCCTGGGATGTTTGTTTTGGAAATGTTGATTTTGATGCATAGCCAAATAAGAGACCCATGTTTCTGAGTGCAGGTGTCCATGGCAATCAACTTAAAAATAAGGGATTAACATCAAAGTGAGGGCAGTGTGTACTGGTTCCTTGTATCTGTGCCCTACTTGGGAGAGAACCCCAGATATAAGCTGTTTTGGTGGGGGGGGGGGAAGGATTGAAATCCTATTGGGATGTTTCTCCACTCCCTTCTGTTGCACTGATTGAGCTAGAATGTCCAGGGGGAGGCAGCAGTCTGGCCCAGGGCTTGGGGCAGGCCGGCCAGCTAAAGACAGAGGTGTGGTTTTGGTCTAAGAATTCTATGACTTAGTTAATCCCTCCATAACATTCTACCCCAAATCCACAGACTCCCGTCTCCCCAGACAAACCAGTCCAAGGATCTTGCATGGGCCCCACAGACTGACATGTCTGCTCCTCCTCTCCTGGCCTGGGTCCACCTGGCCACCTCCCTTGAAGACATTGGCAGTTTTGGGGACGGAAGTATCCAGAAGGCCTCTACTTCAACATGCCCCTCCCTGGCTTTACTCCTCCTCCATCTTCTCCCGAACCTCTGCTGGCAAGCCCTCATAAAGGGTGTCCTCCACCAGGAGCCCTGCCTTCTTGAGCCCCCTACAGTTGCCCAGTTCTTCTGGCAGTGCCTCCAACCGGTTGCCCTTGAGCTCCAGGCGGCTGAGGGCACTGAGGGCCCCCACCTGGGGCGACAGATAACTCAGGTGGTTGTAGCCCAGGAGCAACGTCCGCAGCTTGCTGCAGAAGAAGAGCTCGTCGGGCAGGTCCTCCAGAGCATTGTAGGAGAGAGCCAGGTGCTGCAGGTTCTGAAGGAGACCCAGCTCCGGTGGCAGGGAGTGCAGCCCATTGTGGGAGACATCCAACAGGCGGAGACCAGAGCACATGCCCAGCTGGGTGGGCAGGGTCTCCAGCTTGTTGTGGCTGAGGTAGAGCTGCTCGAGGACCCGGAGCTTACGTACGTGCTCGGGGACATAAGCAATCTGGTTGTGCCATAGCCTGAGCGTGACCAGCTTGCGACAGTGCTGGAAACTGAGGATCTCCTCAATGGACCGCAGGTGGTTGTCCTTGAGGTCAAGTTCCTGCAGGGCGCCCAGGCTGAAGACAGCATGGGGGATGCGCTCCAACCCACAGGCCACCAGTTCCAGCTCCCGCAGCACTGTCAGCTTCTTGAGGCTGTTAAGTGCCAGCAGGCGGGCCCCGTCATTGTGCAGGCTAAGACGCTGCAGGTGGCCAGCCACGTCGGTCACGCTGGCTGGGACCTTGCCGGCGTTGCTCCGCAGAGACAGCACCTTGAGCTGCTTCAGCTCCCGGAGGCTCTCGAGGGTGGCCGCCCGAGCCAGCTCTGGGGGAAAGAGCCCCTCAAGGTGCAGCTCCTCTAGGCTGCGCAGCCCGAACACCCAGAGGGGCACCTCACGGAGCTCCTCACACTTGACACGGATGACCTTCAAGCGGTCCCGCAGGAAGATCTGCGAGGAGAAGGGCAGCCTGGCGGGTGAGTGGATCAAGCTGAGCTCCTGCAGGTAGACCAGCTGTGACAGGCCCGGAGGGAAGGTGATATCACAGATGGCCTCCAGCCGAAGCGCCTCCACCTCGCTGAGCTCAAAGACAGTGTCAGGCAGTCCTGGAAGCATGCAGAGGGCCAGCTCCAGCTGGCCCTTGGCATTGCGCTGCAGCTTCTGCCGAAGCTTCTCAGGTGTCCACTCATGGTTGAGGTTGAGCTGCTTCAGACGGCTCTCGCTGACCTCAGAGAGGAAGACGGCAAAGCGCTTGGAGTAGAGCGGGTCGTACTGGTCGATGAGGTGCAGCATGAAGGCGAAGTCGTTCTTGACGTCGGGAATGTCACCCATGCCAGTCTCCTCCCGCACGGAACGGAAGGAGTACTCCTTGAGGGGCCGGTGGAAGAGCCAGTAGAGTGTATAGAGGCAGGTGACCCCGTAGACACACACAAACGAGATGTAGCAGAAAGCCAGCTTGGAAAACAGGTGGGCCTTGGTGTGGTTGCAGCAGAAGCTGGCATAGCCCGTGAACCTAGAGGTCTCCACCGTGCAGGTCACCACGAAGCTGATCTTCTCCACATAGATCAGGTTGTAAACCAGGATGGCAAAGAACTTGCAGACTTTGAGCACCATCTGCCGGATGTACATGGTGTATAAAATGTCCCCCTCTTCCACGTGCACACGGAATTTCTTGACCTTCTCAAACAGGGCTTTGGCCTGCTCGCCCTCCTTCTTGTCCAACAGTGTGACGGCTGGTGGCTCAGTCACCACCTTCTCAGGCTCTGCCAGCACCTTCTCCTTCTCACCCTCCCCTGCCTTCCCTGGTCCTGCCTGGGCTTCAACAGTTGCTATCGCTCGTCCAGCGGCGTGGCCCTTTCGGTTCTCCCCGGAGACCTCGGAAAGGGCCCGTGTGGTCCATGGTGAATCGAAACACTTGCCCAGGATGGAGGTGAAGTGTTCGATCTTGGAGCTGGTGCCAGGGAACTTGAACCAGAAGCTGGTGCAGACCATGAAGATGAGCGTGTGAATGACAACCAGGTAGGGGAAGTACTTGGGGTACCAGTGGAGGGCCTCCTCATAGCAGAGCTGGTTAATGAAGCTGTACTGCTGCAGGTCCAGGTTGTTCTTGAGGCCGTTCACCTCCTGGAGACCCCCCATCTGCTTGGAGACCCCCTGCAGCAGCAGTTGCTGACACGGGGCCTCTGACAAGTTCTCCCGGGGTTCATGACTGGGCAGACAGATGATCTTGTCCTGTGTCACCTGGGGGTGGGGGGATTGGGAGAGAAGTAGACTGAGGTGGGAGGCCCCAATCAGACTGTCCCCGACTAGCTATGACTTTGGAAGAGTCACTAAACCTGAGCATCGGTCTTTGAAAAAGAGTTGGGTTGAATTGTGTCCTCCCAAAAGATGTTGAAGTCCTAACCCCCAATACCTGTGAATGTGGCCGTGTTTGGAAATAGTCTTTGCAGAGCAGATGTAATCAAGTTAAGATGGGGTCATTAGGGCGGGCCCTAAACCAATATGACGGTGTCCTTTTAAAAAGGGAAAATCTGAACACACACACACACACACACACACACACACACACACACACACACACAGAGGGAAGATGCTATGAAGACAGAGGAAGAACATCATCTATAAACCAAGGAATGTCCGAGGCCACCAGAATCAAGGACAGTGGCATGGAACAGATTCTCCCTGACATCCCTGGAAAGGAACCAACCCTGTCAACACTTTGATTTCAGTCTTGTAGTCCAGAACTGTAAGACAATAAATTTCTGTTTAAGCCACCCAGTTTGTGGTATTTTGTTATGGCATCCTTAGCAAACTAATAAAGTTAACTGCAGTTCTTTCTAGGTTCCAGGGACGAAATTATTATAAAAGTATAGACTGCCATAGCTATGCGCAGAACTTTAGTGCTGCTGCCAGTGGAAACGGGAAAGGAAAGGTCAGGATTGGTCGGCAAGAATAGGGACCTCTGGCTTTCTCTTCCTTGGGTATAACAGGAAGACTTCTGGAATTCCCTAGCTCTGCCCTCCAGACCACGCCCTCTAACGCCCGCCTCTCCAGCAAATCCCACCCCTATGCGGACCCCGCCTCTCCTGTCTATCATTCAGGCCCTACCTCCTGCAGGTCCCGCCCCTGCTCGCCACTTACCTGGAGGGTGCAACCGAAGACCCCGATCATGAGCATAGCCACCGTGAGGTATTCAGCCAGCACGTCCCACCAGGGTTTGAGCAACTTGAAGGCTGGCTGCTGCTCAGAAAACTGCTTGAACTCAGCCACCGGAATCATCCTGCCTATGGGAGAGGAAAAGGCGGGGGTGCAGAGACTCTCCGGCAGTGGAGCGGGGTGGTGGGCCCCCTGGGAGCCAGATACAGGCCTCTGCTCTGGATCTGCGTTCTGCCCTGCCCAAATCTGGCAAAACCCAGGAACTGTGTGTCCCCTTCCCCTCTCCCCCAGATCTCACCTCCTTCCTCAAGCAGGTACCGTTCACACCACTTCTGCTCCCCAAGACCTGGGGATATGAATCTGCTCCGATATGAAGCTGCCTGCCCTCTCAGAGCTCCAGAGGGGCTGTGCACAGGGCTGCTGTCCCCCAGCTAGCCATGTGACCTCCCTTCTCCCAGAGCCCCAGCATCTCCTTCTACCCTTGACACACGTGGAGCCTGAACACTCCCTCTCTGCTGTCTTGACTCCAGACACCCAATGTCCCGGTGTCCAATCCTGGCTCTTTCCCACTGGACAAGAGGACGTCCCAAGGCTCAGGACTTCCGGAGAGGCCAGCCACCCCCCTTGAGGGGAGCTTGGGGCACCACCTCCAACCTCCAACCGGAAAAGCCGGCTGGAGCCTGGCTCTGGTTACAGGCCCCAGGGGCAGGGAGTGGCAAAACTGAAGGCGGGTCAGCCCTGGGGGGTGGTGTGATTGGGACACCTAGGTTTCTAGAGGGGCTAGTGCCCAGAATCAGAGGCAGAAAACAGGTACCTGGGCTCTGAGAGGCAGGGGTGGGGGGGGGGGGGGGGTGCCACGGTGGGTAAGACTGTGGCAGAGGATCAAGAAATGAAAAACGTTCAGGGAAAAAGCCAAGGAGACACCTACAAGTGGGACAGGGCTGGGCTGCCAGGCTCCTGGGCTGCCAGGCTCCTGGGCGGCCGGCCCACTGTCTGTCCCTGGGTTTCATTTTAGACCAAGGTATCATTATTCCAGATACAGATGCCAGGCGCAAGTCTCACAGGGGTTTGGCCACTAGCTAGGACCCGGGAGCCTCCCTCTTCCTCCCTCCTCAAGTCTGGAGGTGGAAGGAGAGGGAGGCAGCAAGGCCCCCTCTACCTCTGAGGATGCTCCTAGGCCACCCGCCCCTCCCAGCACCTGTGGTCCCCAATCTGCAGCCCTCATTTTCTCCCAAAGCATTCCTGGAGCCTGCTGTCCTCATCCTGATAGCCTGTCCCTGGCGCAGGCTGGGCAAGGAAGGGAGCATCTGGGCTTCCAGCCGGTCCTCCAGCCCTCCCTCCACCCATCTCCAGGAGAGAACCTGACCCCTGTCCCACACCTTAGCCAATCACTCTGACACCTCCACTCCTCCCTTTTCAGTCCCCTCGTCCCTTGAAAGCTTTGGTGTGACCCCTGGATGAGGACTATGTGGGAGTGGATGGGGATACAGGACTCAGGTCCCACCCACTTAGTGTCATCAGAGGCTCCCTCTTCTGTACTGGGATGGAGATGGTCTCGCAAGTGACAGGCACATGTCTGCCCACACCCGGGCTCCAGGGCCCCCTGACTCAGTCCCTGACTCACCCAGCACCAGGCACACGTAAGGACATGCACAGAGAACACAAGATCCTTCACGCAGTGGCCCATCTGTCATGCTCAGTTTTACACCATCCTGAACAAAAAAACTTGAGTAAAAATGCCCCAGTGCATCCCAGCCAGCCTGTTGCCAGGGAATCTGATAGAAACATACCTACCCAGGGCATCTCAATAGGCCCCAGTGGCTGAAAGTACATTGCAGCCACTAAAAGGGACACCTGGGGTCATTCTGAAGTGTGCACATTGGTGCATGTGGGCATGAATGCAAGTACACACATTAGCTGAGGGCAAACCCAGGACCAGGAAGCCACCACACACCAGTCCCAGTCACCCACTGTTGCCCCTGCCTGCAAGGGACACTGCTCAGCTACTTAACCTAACAACAGTAGCTCTGGGGGCTGCGGCAGAAATGCCACACAGAATCAGGGGCTAACTTATTGCCTGAGTCCCTGCCACCCTTCAGGACCCATCTCATAATGGTGCAAGCTCCGCCACCTGCCATCCCGGGTCCACAAAGGCAAGAAGGCAGAGAGCCCCAAGGTCCCCAACAGATGGCCCAGAGGCTCCCATGGAACAAGGTGCATACACAACACCATCAGAGGCAGGCACGGGGGTTATCATTATGTGTCTCTATGACTCAAACTCGATTGTCAGAACCTGCCATTAAGATTCCGCAGACATAAGGCTGGCCCCCACTTTGTCTGAGCAGGGCTAGTGGGAGGGTCCGGAGAAAAGGACTTTCAAGATGGGGAAGAACCCCAAGAAAAACAACAATGGAGACACACATGCAACTTAAAGCCACCAGACACTTTCAATGCCTCATTTTATCGGAACTCGGTGAGTGTGGGAACCCTTTTTTCCAGACTCAAAGGGAGGGAAATAACTTGCTCTAGGTTTCACAGCTACAAATGGCATTTGAGGCGCAACCCTAAGTCCCATCTGTCTGACTGCATGCACTCTGTTTCATTTTGGGAGAAAATCTCTTGCTGAGACCAGCACCTTTGCCAAAAGAACCTCAGTGGAGGGTTCCAGCAGAGGAGAGCTGGGGGGCTGGCTGCTCTGCATGCCAGGCTGGAGCGGGGCTTCTCTGCCAGTCTAGGATCAGGTATATGCCCCCTACTCAGCCTTAGCTTCGCCCATCCACACCTTACTCTTGCTTCTCCCCTCTCAGGCCTTCCCCCAAGCCCCCAGCTTGCCTCCAAACACATGGTGATGGCGGATGTTCCTGCTCTAGCCCCTGTCCCCACCCACAGCCCATGCTAAGGGGCAAGGAAGACACAGTGGCAGTTGTCAGCCCTGGAACAGGCTTCGGAGGGCACAAGGTCCAAACTTTGACTTTTACACAACAGAGAAACTGAGGTGTGGGTGGGGGACGGTGGTCCTTTAGTAGCATATCTTGGCCGAGGCCCCATGCCTGGGGACTCCCAGCCTAGTACTTTTCCAAGCTACCCTGCCAGGATTTGGGGGTCTGTGGAATCTTGAGGTTCAGGAGTCCCAGAGGGGGAAGCTGGCGAGACCCCCAAGTGGTGGCTCCGAGGCCTTGAGGGGCTCACAGATATGAGTTGTCTCTGTTTTCTCAGCGGCCAAGGAGAGAGGAACATGATCAAGACCCCTGGCGTTGCCACCAGCCTGTTGGTCTTCAATCGGCCCTTGGCCAGGCCTGCCGGGCCTCTGAACAGCGTCCTTGGCCTGGCCAGGGCCTACCCTCTTTCTGCCCTCACCCCCTCCCCAGCTCCCCTGTGCCCCTGACGGTGGCTGCGGACTCAGGCCACAGTGCCAGCCAGCACCTAGGACGGTTTTCCCTTGGGCCCGACCCTCACTCCGCCACCCAGTCCCCAGGGGCGGAGAGCCACTTACTCACCGCTAGGGGAGGACGCTGGGCCCAACTCCTGGGTCCCTGGAAGCGGAGCAGTCGGGGCTCCCGCGGAGTTAGTTCCCGGGCCAGCCTGGGTGAGTCAGGGCGGGCGGGACAGGAGCCGGGATCCGCCCCGCCTGCCCCGCCCACCTGACGTCTCGGCCCTGCCTCCCTCAGGGCGCTCCCAGGTGGCCCCGACTCTTCGTGCCCGGGGATCGCTGGAGGAGGGCGACCCTAATCCTGCTCTTCCCGAGGTGGGCCAGGGCCCGGCCCCAGGAGCAGGAGCCTTGAACTCTGGGCTCGGCTGCCATGGGGCAAGACCTGGACTGGGACATACTGAAGGGGTCGGAGGCGCACCCAAAGCCTGCAACACCCTTTTGGGAACCAGGCTGTATAGACTCGGTCAGAAAGTGTGAAAGGGCCTCCTCCTCCCCCCACCCCAAGGTGCAGCCACCTGGTTTTGAGGAACCTGCAACCAAGGTCCAGGGGAGAAGGAGGGGACTTCCTCCTTCCTGCTCTGACCACCCAGTCAGGAAAGCCAAGCAGAAAGGGGCTGCTTGCCTGTCTGACCCTGCCCAGCCTTGAGGCTGGCCCTCCACTGGGAGAAGATGGGAATTAGCTGCACCCAGGTCCTTGGGTGGGGGTGGGTCGGTGCAGAGGCCAGAGGGGCTCTGAATCCTGGGGCTAGAGTCCAGACTGGGAGGCTGGCTTCTAGAAAGGATCATTCTGCCTCCCCACCCCACTCTTCTCCCTGGTGCTCAACCTTTCCTCCCTACCCAGGGAGGCTTGCGCTGGGTCTTAGACTCACCAATGGCCCAATTCAGCCCAGAGGTCTGTGTGAATGAACCTTGATCTGCTTTGTCTACAAAACAAGGAGGAGGATTTAGACTAGAGTGGGAGAGTGAAACCCCTTCCCAACTTGGCCCCAAAATTCACCAGCTCAGCAACCTCCTGAGACCTGAAACCTTGAAGGTTGGGACTCTCTAAACTTAGGTTCCTCTGTGAAACCCGGCAACAGGTGCTACCCTCTAGGACGCAACCCTGTAAAGTCCTGGGCTCCCTCTCCTTCAATGGCCTCTTCTTGCCTCCAGAGAAGCTCCGTGGTATCCACGCCCTGGAGTTTGTTTCCAGCTTGGTTCTGGAATGAGCATCCAGCTTGGCACACTTGTGCACGAGTCTGAGGTCACTGGCCTGGAAGCCTCATGAATCCCAGACACAGGTCTCTTTGGCTCTCTGCTGTGTCCCCAGCACTTGATATGGTGCCAGGCACACAGTTGTGGGCATTCAGTTAATGATGGGTGGGTGGATGCTTGAGGTGTTATCTTAATTCTGGTTCTGGTTGCAGGCTGTGAGACAAGGAATTGGATGCAAATCATTTATCTGGAATGTGACCCCCACAAGCACTAATGATGGGGCAGTGGGGAGATGAGACTGGGAAGGGAAGGGAAGAGCAAGCCTTAATGAGGGTACATCTATGAGAATGAATGAGCAGGTTGCTACTGTGGGCAACTGGGGCTCCGTTCTTCTGAGGAGCTCTGGGCAATGGTGGAAGGCACACTTCCCCAGTTGTCCCACCAAGGGGCAAGAGAGTTGAAATATTGATGCACCAGGTCCTGTCTGTCTTGGCTGAGGGGTGCTCTGGAGAAGGGGGATGTAGGGATGTTACCTCCCAGCCACTTCCGACTTTCCCTGCACATGAGGACCATGGGTGCTCAGGTTATATGGAGGGGGCATCTGCCACAGTATAGACGCTTGAGTGGAATGGCTGGGTCATAAGACACACATATTCACAATGCTTTCCAGTTGTTCTCCAGAAAGGCTGCCTGCTTTATGTTCCCATTGGTAATGTGTGAATTTTCCCACATGGATAATACCCAGCCTTTTACAAAAAATTGTGGGAAAATATATATAACATAAAATTTACCATCTTAACCTTTTTTTAAGATTTTATTGGGGAATTGGGAAAGGGGAACAGTGTTGGGGAATTGGGGAAGGGAAACAGCCAAGTTGTTGTCCTTCAATCTTAGTTGTGGAGGACACAGCTAGCTCAGTTCCAAGTCCAGTCGCCATCTGGCCACCTGTCAGCAGCTCGCGGCTGCTCACCTCAAGGGGCCATGTTCATTAGTTGCGGGAGTCGAACCGGCAACCTTGTTGTTAGAAGCACGTGCTCTCACCAGCTGAGCCATCCTGCCACCTGTTGGCAGCTCAGCGGCCACTCAGCTCAGGCGCAGCTCACTGGCCCATGTAGGAATCGAATCAGTGACCCTGTTGCTCAGAGCTCACGCTCTTAACCAACTGAGCCACTTGGCCGGCCCCCATCTTAACCATTTTTAAGTGTACAACTCAGTTGCATTAAGAGCACTCACGATGTTGTGGAACCATCCCCACCATCCATCTCCAGAACTTTCTCATCTTCCCAAACTGAAACTGTCCCCATTAAACACTAACTCCCCTCCCCTCCCCAGCCCCTGGCCCCACCATCTACTTCCTGTCTCTATGAGTCTGACTCCTCTGAGGACCTCATACAAGGGGAATCACAGTGTTTGTCCTTCTGTGTCTGGCATATTTCACTGAGCATCATGTCCTCAGGGGTCTTTCATGTTGTAGCAGGTGTCAGAATTTCCTTCCTTTTTAAGGCTGAATAATCTTCCGTTTTATATATATATATATATATATATTATATATATATATATATATATATATATATATATATACACATATATCTCACATTTTGTTTATCCATTCATCCATCGATGGGCACTTGGGCTGTTTCCACCTTTTGGCCATTGTGGATAATGCTGCTGTGAACATGAGTGTGTAAATATCTCCTGGAGTCCCTGCTTTCAATTCTTTTGGGTGGACTTGCTGGATTATATGTAGTTCTGTTTAATTTTTTGAGGACCCTGCATACTGTCTTTCACATTTTACATTCCCACCAACAGTATACAAGGTTTTCCATTTCTCCACATTTTCACCAACACTTGTATTTAATACCCAGCTTCTAAGAACCTCAGATAGTTAGCTAGCTGCATAACAAATTACCCCCAAATCTAGCAGCTTGAAACAGCAAGCACTCATTGTCTCACAGTTTCTGAGTCAGGAATCTGAGAGTGGCTACAATGGGTGGTTCAACAGTCTGCCTCCCCCACCAGCCCCCAGAAATGACTGATTTGTTTCTGTCATTATAGATTAGCTTGCATTTTCCAGAATGTTCTATAAATGGAATCATACAATGAATGCTGTGTGTGTGTGTTTCTTTCTCTCTGTGGCTTTTTTTGTTTAGCAGAATGTTTTTGAGATGTGTCCCTGTTTTTTGTTTGTTTGTTTTGTTTTTTTTTTAAAGATTTTATTGGGGAATTGGGGGAGGGGAACAGAAAAGTTGCTGTCCTTTTGTTCTTCCGTCTAGTTGTGGAGGACGTCGCTTCACTGGCCCATGTTGGTATCATCATTGTGCTCTTCCCAGGTGAGGCAGATCGGTCGCTGGCCTCTGGACGGCAGCTCATGGCGGCTCTTGGCAGCTCACATTGGCTGCCGGCCGCTCATGGTAGCTTATGGCAGCCCACTGCAGCTTCACTGCAGCCTACGCCATCGCCAACGACTCACGGCAGCCCAGCTCCAGGTCGAGCTGTTGTTCACCATTTTAGCTGTAGAGGGCAGTGTCGCTGGCCCTCATGTGGGATCCGAACCGGGGCCCTGCTGCTCAGAGCCGGCGTCCCAAGCCAGCTCTTAACCAACGCACCACTTGGCTGGCCCATGTGTCCCTGTTTTGAGTGTCTTGGTAGTTTGTTGCTTTTATTGCTGAGGAGTACGTTTGGTTTGTGCAATCTGTCCCCCTGTTGATAGACCAAATTTGAAGAATGTTCTTCTATGAGGGTAGAGTCCAGATCTCAGTGAAATTCAGGATGGGTTCAGTTAAGCCTTGGAAGGGCCCTTATACCATTGAAAACAGGAGGGCAAGCCTCTGGCAGGCAGATGTGACTCAGGGAGGCAATGCTGGTGGATGGGTGGGCGGGGAGGCAGGGGAACCAGGCAGCTGTCATGCCAGAAGGGGCTCACACAGGTGACCCTCAGTAGACCTGGGAAGGAGGTGAGACAAGAATGATCCAATCTGGAGGGGAGTGCCCTGGGGGACTGTGAGGAGTGTCTCTCCCAGGCTGGAGGGAGGTTTCATTGAAATGGTGGGTTCTGAAGATCGCTTCCACTGGTCAAAGCAGGGTATTTAGTCCTAACCCTCGCCTCTCTCACTTTCTTCCATTTCCTGAACCTCAACTGTGGGCACAACTACTGAATTAAGAAAACCCAAACGCCTGCTTCTGGCCACACCTGAGTGTTCTGGACTGGTTCCAGGCTACTAATAACCAAGGTCTTGGCTGGTCAAGCACTGGTGGTTATTATGAATTGCAAGATACCTTACAGGACCTGGAAGCTACATAGCATACCTGGGGCCACACAGTGTGGTTATGGGGGGATGGGGAGCGAGGGAGAGGGAGAGGGAGAGCATGAAAGCAAGCGACCTGGAGTTCTGCTTTTGGTGGGGTAGAATGTGGGGGCCTAGGGTTTTGTGAGCTCACTTTTTATTGATTAATTTAAAGCACGGGAACACGGGAAGAAAACAAAAGCGGTCCAGTTATTGAAATCAACCAAGATGTCTAAAATAAAGAGACTCAGTAGGAGAGGCAGCCTGGCTTTCCATCCAGTGTAGCTGGCAATGTGTTTACTGGAGATGGCCATCCTTGAGGTGGATGCCTCTGCAATCAAAGCTTAAGTCAGGCACTTGCATTACAAAAAAGATAAAACCCAACTGTCACGGCTTACACTACACCTAGTTAAGTTCATCCTCCCCTCCCTCCCATGACAGGTTCACCCTGGTACTAACTGCCACCCTGTGCTTTGTGGAAGCCTCTTGAGTTCCAGGTGGGGATGAGCTGCTCCTGTAGTGCGTGCATGTGTGTGTGTGTGGGGGGGGTGGGGCAGAGAGAGCCGGTTCTTTGGGATGGGGTAGAGGGCGGCTAAGTGTCTGGAAAGATAAGGCCTGGGGCAGAAAGCACAGTGTGTGTGGTGGGGGACACGGAAGCGTGGAAAGGCGCCTGATGTCCGCTGGCCAGCATAGCACACCTGAGGATGGCCATCTCCCGCTTCACACTCCCACCCCCTCCACGCCACAGTCCCCTATCACGTTCCTCCAACTGAGACCCCTGCCCAAGTTGGTAAAGTCTCCGATATGACACCTCCCACCCCCACCAGCTGGGCTGGAAAACCTCTGATGGGATCTTCTCTACTCCTTTATGCACCCGTTTTGACACCTCCCAACCTCCCATAATCTTGGTTGCCCAAAGCCTGGCTCTGGGCTAGGATGCCTTTACTGACCTGACCTCACCGCTTCATGTGACCTAAGAGGGTGTGAAGGGTGGGGGTGCCCTGCCCTGCAGAAAAGATTGGGTCACCTCTCACCATACTCAATCTCTCCCTCTTGACCTTCCTTTCTTCCTCTCTTCTCCCAAATCCGGGTTCTGCCCCTAAATTCCCAGGGCTGCATTCTCCTAGTAGTCCCCCCATCCCAGGTAGGGGTTTTGCTGGGGTCTGGGAAAAGCCTTTGGGTGTGAGAGGGGCGGATGCCTCCAGCGGTCCTGGGGGTTAAAGGGGTGGGTGTGTGGCCTCCAGGGACACCGGCCTCCAGGGACACCGAGCGGTCGGATTGGTCGATGGGGCGAGAGGCGCTATGGTCCTGCCCCCGAAGGGCCAGGAAAGGTGTGTGTGTGTGTGTGTGTGTGTGTGTGTTGGGGGTGTGTGTGTGTTGGGGGGAGGAGGCAGGGTCAGTGACCTCAAGGAATTCCCTCCTCTTCCGAATCCCCTCGGGTTGGGTAGCGGGTACTCTGGCGCAGCCGCGGAGCAGCCTCCCCTCCCTCCAGCGCGCGCCTCCCTCCGCACCACCCTGGCGCGCTCCCGCCGCCTCCCGGGCCTGGATCCGGCGCGTGCGCTCGGGTCTCCCCAGATCGTGGCGGAGGGGCGGGCCCGGCTCCCGGCGCCACTGCCTGCAGCACCCCCCTCCTCTCGCCTGTCCGTTGCTTGCGGCCGCCGAGGCGCTGCCACCCAGCCCCACCCCAGGCGACCCTGCGTGGAGCCGCGGGAGACCCGAGCGGGAGGTCAGCGCGGCGGCAGCAGGTGGAAGGGGCGGCGCGGACCGGGTCCGGCTGGGGGAGGGGGACGCTCTTGAGACGCGGTTCTTTGTCTCCCCGAGCCCGTGCGCGGGCAGCCGGGGTTGCTCCTCCCGGCAGGTGCCGGCATCCCTCCGGGCTGGCGAGGGGACCCGAGCGTGCGCTTCTGTCCCCCCCACCCCACCCCATCTGGAGTCTGTGGCAGCCCCCTGTCCCCGAGGCTGCTAGGGGTAGGGGCGTAGATCTCAGATCCTGAAAGGGAGCAAAGGCGAGGGGGTGGGTGGGGGTG